TTGTAACTCTAAGGCTCATATTTTTATGTCTACTTAAGTGTTGCACAGTAATGCATTCTGGTTTGTACATGTAGAGTTTGTAAATGCTGACATGCTTTGTGTGCGTCCACAGAAAGCCTCCCTGTGACTCAGCTGTTCCCAGAATTAGGCAATTCAAAAACAACACGACTAGGCAGAGGTGTGCCACTTTAACAGTTTCTTCCTTCACATACTAGTGATGGATGTGGCATGAAAGCAAGAAAGGACTAAGTAAAAAAACTAAAACCCAGTAATATGAAGTAAGCAAAAATAAAATTTTTGGGAAAAGCAAAAAAAAAAATTGTTTTTATTTGATCAGCAATTGAAGATTTTAAAAATCATATTTGCTTTCAACCCAACTTTAATTGGCTCTGTTAATTATAAGCACACAATCTCACCTGTCAGGTCATGGCAGATTCTTGCCCAGACACCGTTGATGGTGAGATTATAGGTGTTTCCGAGGAACAGCAGCTAAAAACAACCAAAAATGAGGACTTTGATGCTGCTAGACCACACGACAAGGAAATCAGCCAAAAAGAGGGTGACACCAATACTGAGCAATCCTCCGGGAGCATTTCTCACCTCATGAAAGATGGCCTCACAACATGCAAAGAACCTCCTACAACCACAGCGTCTCTTGAAGATGATGCTAATGCAGCTCAGTCCGTGACCAGTAAAAGCCAAGACAAAACCGATGAATCTGAGATCCTCAATAGCCAATCTTACACGCCCAGCCAATCAGAGGTGACGCCCACTTTCTCCATGGCCAGCCTGGAGTTCTCCGAGGAGACTAATGGGATTCCTCCTGATGGAGCTTTGATTTCGTCCAAATCTGCTCAGGATGGCAACCAAGTCCCCTCTCAGGGGAGCGGAGGGGCCTGTGCGGGGGCTGCGAGGGCATCAGAGCCTAGCATGCCGGCATGTTATTTTGTCAAGTGGATTACCTGGAAAGAGAAGAAGACAGCCATTATCACACAGAGCGAGAACGGACCCTGCCCCCTGATTGCCATCATGAACATCCTGTTGTTGCGGTGGAAGGTAAGCCATTTAGCATTACCTGCTCGTCATAGTCGAGCTGTTGAGTACAAATACATGGAGCAAAGCAAGTACATTATATGTGCTGTTTGATAAGGCAAGCATCACTTATACTATTCGAACACTGTTTGTTTTACTGATGTGAAAGTTACTTTGAATTTTGCAAGTCATCTGACATGATTTTCACCTGGTGAACAATAACTGGACCAAAATGATAAAAAAAATGTAGTCCATCTGTGTTGCATTGACTAAAATCAGTGATTAATAATAATATAATATGTGACCCTGGACCACAAAACCAGTCTTGAGTCGCATGGGTATATTTGTAGCAATAGCCAAAAATATATTGTATGGGTCAA